CAGCTGGCTGTGTTCATGACATGCCTGCCACGTGCATGTCAAAAAGTTTCTTGCGTTGGCCAGGAATCGAACCCGGGTCAACTGCTTGGAAAGCAGCTATGCTCAGCACTATACCACCAACGCTATATGATTGCACTGCAAGTCTAATACAGTTCATAGCTCCATTTGTAGTCATCTCTTCTTGTTTACCTTGTCTTGGATGATGACCTGCCCCCCCACACTCCATAATATTCTACCATGGTGGGTTTTTTGACATATCATTATTTTGTACATAAATACAGTATTATTAGGCAATTTAAGGCACAAACCTATGTGGATGTATATAGAACAAAAGGCCTACAAGTCCCAGAATGCTCCAGCCAGGACAGCTGGTATTGGGTTGTGTCTACCTTCTTTGTGCCAAAGACAGAAAAATGGAGGAGCAATGCAGGGGGAGGGAAACGGAAATGCAGAGGATCAGCAGGTCAAGTGGAGTGTCTAGTGTGGCCTATAGGCTGCTTATTGTTGAATCCTGTGTGGGTGTAGGAAGGTAAGAGTCAGTAGAACTTACCCAGGACAAAGTGGTGCCAAAAATGTGCCATCAGTCCATATAAATAACATATAAGGTGATCATAGTCGCCCTGGATGAACTAATGAGCCGCACAAATTATTAGGGTTGGAATAACTTATATGTATGCAGACCTGATATGTATACATGTAAACCGTAAAAATAAACCGTATACATGTAAACCGTAAACCGTAAAAATAAAGCATGCTCTGTTGTATTAAGCTCCTCCCTCCCTCTCTCCCTCTCTGGTGTCTTTAACTAATATTCTGTGGCACTGTGGTAATGCAGAAGTGAATATTTCTTCACATTTTTGTTTGGTTGTAACACCTACAATATTTTCCTCAAAAGTCTGGTCATAAAACAACTGCATGTTGAAGACTTAGCATCCTCTACTTTATTAAAGAGCTGGAAAAGCTCCTAGCATGCATGTGACTCATATAGTTCCCCAATAAAACAGAGAACACAAGTCATAATATTCCTGATTCTTGTACAACACAACCTAGAAAATACTGTTTGATATAGAGAGAGGAAAAAATTCCTACCAGCAGTTTTGTCTTTATTTTCTTCACAGTAGAATAATTAAATATTGGCAAGAAAAGCCTATATTAAATTATCTGTAAAGGTTTAAATAGAGAAAACTTATGCTCAGCTCAGTTAGTTTCTTTAAAATATCCAGGTAAAATACAATGAAAATAGAAAAAGAAAAAAGAAAAGAAACAGAAAACTAATGAATGCATTTGCATTTTGTTACAGAAAATGTCAAAAGCATGCAAGATTAGAATATTGATCCTTTTTGAAAAATATTTCCACTTCTCTTGGATTTGATCATTTCTAGTACAACTAAATTCATACTAGAAATGTTTCATCACAAAGTCATTATTTTATATCTGTAATGGCAGTTTATAAGAACACTTCAACATTTTTCCAGCTTCCAGATTCAATGCTTTGGACATTTTAAAATCAGTAGTTTCTCTTTTTAACAAACAAAAGTCACAATGAAAGGGGGATGTTACATTTGCATTTTAACATATTATTTAAGGAAGCTCAGCAAAAGATGAGCAGAGAGAGCCAAAACCTACACTACTTTTATCACCAATCCCAAGATATTTTGCTCCCTGAGGCAAGTAAGATGACACCTTTCATTCCATTCCAGGCATAGAAACTAAGCGGACTGGCAACTAAATCTTATTGATATGGTGGCATAGGACTGTGTCTTCCATGGGCCTTGAGCAAATCAAGCTAGAATAGCAAACAAGAACACATGGCCCCATTTTCCAACACCATGCAACTTCATCTGCAGCATCTGCTGCCAGCCCGAGGTAGGGGCCAGCCAGAGGCTTAGAGCCAAACTGGCTTAGATGTGAATGCATTAATGTACCCTTTTTTCATTACATAAATAACAGCTAAGATCTTTCAAGGAGGCTCAGAATGAGGTGTGCAAGGAGTGGGAGGAATTAACATGCATTATTAGTCGATGGCTTAGAGAGCTTGGATTTGTATACAGGAAACTCAGATGCAAGTCTCCCATCAGATACACTGTCATTTGCTGTCAGGAATCATACATTACCAGCTGCAGGGGGCTGCTGATAATGTTTGAACAATACCTATCCCTTTTACCTTTCTCTTCCAGAGAATGAATTATCCAAGTTTCTTTTCTGATGCTCAGATGTGAAATTGTGTATGAGCACATACCACTACATGGCTGGACCCTGTATGGAGATCATGGTGATTTTTTTTTAGTACATGTTGGAGAAAGAATGTTTTCTTTTTCCTTTTAACAAGTGAGGACAACCAAACAGTACTGTATAAACAGGAGCTCTTTTCTTTATGGTTACTGTGAAAAATAGACGAGCGCCAGATCACAGGTTAATTTCAAGGGTAAACCCAATGTGATTTATAAATCAGGCTGTAGATTAAACATGCCAGATTATAGCACTTCAATATCAATTTAAAGCCTGCTTTAACAGATACCTGGACCATTTTAGATAATTGGAATCCCATGGAGAGACAGTGCAAATGTATTTGTGAAACCTTGAGTTTCAATGAACATTTATTGTAATAAAATCACACTATGTGCAAAATATAAAAGGTTTCACATTTAACTGTTTCCAGGAGGTGAAGAATGTTATGTAACCAAGAGGTATCTTCTGTTAACAGTGAATAACTGCACAAGTTGCTAGGCAATGGAAAAACTGAACCAGTTAGTTCTATGTTTATTATGTTCCACTTAAAGTGGTGTATCTAATAGGGAACTGACCCAAAGACTCCTAAGCAAACAATGCATCAATATTTATTCTGATTCTGTGGATTTACCATTCACTTTCATGTATACACTTTCTGAAGGGATACAAAACAGTCTTGTCAAAGTAATTTTAAATTCTTATTCTCCCCCTGCCCCACCCACACACATCCCTGATAATCTTTCTATATCAACTCAAAGAACTGCTTTATGTGCTGGTAAAAATAAAATAAAATGAAGTACTGAGAAAATGGCGGCAGAGAGTAAGTTGTAGCTGTACATAATATAAAGATGGAGAGGGACCTGTTAGCTTTTGCAAATAGGACTAGTTCAGGTGTCCCTGATACAGTGTCATGTGTTACAGATGCTATTGCCACATGCAATGGATTATACAGGGTCAGGACTTTTTGAACACACTTTCTTTATCAGATATATGGCTTGAATGGGGTGAGTACTGGCAAGTTTTCAGACTGCATCTTCTCAAGCAAATGACATTGCCAGCATGGTATTAGCGTCTGATCCAACTGACCTTTATGGAAGAACATTTTTAAAAGTCCACAATGATATTCTTTGCAGGAGCCTATGAACTGGCCTTCAGACACTTCCTCTGTGATAGAAGGCACATCTATGTCCAGGTTTGGTCATCTTCTATCATAATATCTGAAGGTTTAGTATCCTATGAAATGAGTTTTTATACATGAAACCCATACAAGAGCAATTTATTGTTGTTGCCATCAAGTCATCTCTAACTTCTGGCAACACTATGAATGAAAGCCCTTCACATGTCCTGCCCTTGACAGCCCTGCTCAACAATTGTATACTCAGGGCTGTGGGATCCTTTATGCCATATGGGCAACTGATCGATGACTTTATGCCTTTATGGGCCTTTATGAGCAACTGATCAATGTCATATTTAATCTTCCTCTTCTTCTGCCTTCAACTTTTCCTAGCATTATTGTCTTCTTCATTGGGTTTTGCCTTCTCATGATATGCCTGAAATACAACGGCTTTAGTTTCATCATTTTTGCTTCCAGAGCAAGATCTGGCTTGATTTGATCTAGGACCCACTGGTTTGTCTTCTATCAGACCAGAGTATTTGCAAAGCTCACAAAAGTAATGCTTTCTGTAAAAAAAATAATTTGCAAGTATATGCTATTATTTTTCTATGTTTAAGCTTCCAGTAAACTGTTTTACTTTTTATTTTCTTTTTACTTTTTTGGAGATGTCAGTTGAGCTATCCAGGCACCAGCAGATTTCCAGTGGAACAGCAGCTTATTACCCTAGCCAGATGCCTGGTATCAGGTTTTTAGGTACAAGACACTGGGCAGCTACACAAGACATAGTGGTACCTTAGAAATATTAGCCATATGCTGTGGCTAAAAATTTCCTGTGCTCAACAGACAATCAGGCACAGCAAGGGGTATCCCAGCAGGGATGGGAGCAAGGATGACTGCTGCAGAAAAGGACGGGTCTGCATTTTTGGTAGCTGCCATCCGGTTGCTACTGCCAATGCCAGGACAGGGAGAGGGCTCAGGAGCAATCCTGCACTTCTAGCATCAAAAGAAGTGCAAGGTGGGAAGCCGGGGGTTGGGGCAGGGGGAACATTCACCTGAGCCTCTTCCTGGGGTGATCCAGCCAAAGAGCCAAGCTTCCTGAAGCTTTGATTGGTAGAACCATGGGAAAAGGCCAGTGACAGCCATGCCTAGTGTGACTTGGTCAACTGTCATCAGAGCACTTTTTTGCTGATCTTGCCAAGAGGCTGAATTGATCTGGGACTTGTCTCTCGCTCCAATAGACAGTATCATCTAGGTTCAGACAACATGGTATTCCACAGTGGGTTTACTAAATCCTGGAACAGGCCATGACTTCTTGGAGTAATTTCATATGGGTTAATATGTCATGCAACCCCAGGCATGGTGAACTGGCTCCACAACTGAGATGGGGGTTTAAAGGAGAAATGCAAAACTGGGGATGGATGGAAATTCAGTTTGAATTTTTTAAAGTTAGTAAACACTGGGTTCATACCTTGAGCTGAGGAACACTGTACATTAGCCAGACCATATAAGAAAACAATTCAAAACTTTTGAAACTACATAGACATTCTCTCCCCTCCCCACCAAATACAGAGAAGTGCTTCCAGATACAGTCATGCCATTGTATGATGCTGGATGATTCTTGATGGTTAATGTTCTTACTTTATCTTTCTTTTAACAGTGATTGGCAGAAAGCTAACTACATGTATAAAGTGTGGCAGGGAGCACTGGAAGACGGCTAGAACACAGTCATGTCTCCAGTTTGGCATACAATTTCAGCTCTTGATGTGAACAACAAGAAACTTGTATACCTCTTGGTCATCGCTGTAAGTGTATGTTGCAGTGCCTCTGGGATGTGTCCTACAGCTTGCATCTGTGCAAGCGACATCGTGAGCTGCACCAGCAAGAACCTTTCACGGGTGCCATCCACACTCTTCAAGCACATAAGAAGGCTGGATCTCAGTCACAACCAAATTGGGATTTTGGACCATGACTGGATGCCCGTTCTACTTGACAAGCTCAACACCCTCATTGTCAGTCATAACAGCATCTCTAGTATTTCTACAGGGAGCTTTTCTCTGACTCCAAATGTGAAGTACCTAGACTTGTCCTCCAACAACTTAAGGTCACTGGGCAGTCCTGTCTTCCAGGAACTGAAAGTGCTAGAGGCTCTTCTGCTTTATAACAATCACATTGCACAGATTGATTCTGCTGCCTTTGGAGGGATCCATAAATTGCAGAAGCTGTATTTGAGTTACAATTCTCTCACACACTTCCCAATAGAATTGTACATTGGGAAACATAAACTCTCAGAACTTGTGCTTTTGGACATTTCTTACAATCGAATCAAGTCAATACCCATTAAATACATGAGCTTAGTGCCAGCCAGACATCTGAGTGGAATTTATCTTCATGGGAATCCGTTTTATTGTGACTGTACTCTTTACTCCATGCTAAGTTTCTGGTACCTGAGGCATTTCAGTTCAGTCGACGATTTCAAGACTGAGTATACGTGCGTTTTGCAGTCGGACCCGAAAGGCTCCAATAAACTGCCTTTACTGCATGACAACTATTTGAATTGCTCAGAACGCACCATTAATGGCTCTTTCCATGCATTTGGGTTTATTCATGAAGCCCAAATCGGCGAGAGGCTGATTGTGCCCTGTGACACTAAAATAAGTGATGCAGGTACCCAGTTCATTTGGATCAGCCCGGACGATCAACATCTAGAGCCTGACAAGGTAACTGAACACTTCAGAGTATTTCCCAATGGGAGTCTGGAAATAGACGAGGCCCAGTATGAGGATGCTGGACTCTATTCCTGCATTGCAATAAACACAAAAAGACTATTGAACGAAACAATCGAGGTGAGGATCAACGTGAGCAATTTCACTGTGGACAAGTCTCACTCACATGAAACATTCAACACTGCTTTCACTACCCTTGCAGCTTGTGTAGCCAGTATTATTTTGGTACTTCTTTACCTCTACCTGACACCGTGCCCTTGCCGGTGTAAGTCGAAGGGAAGGAAAAGGCAGCTGAGCCAAAATAACACTCCTCATCCATCCATATTAACCTCCAGTTCACCCCTTGAACATCCAGCTGATGAGAAGAAATCCAGCAGTGGCAAAAGGGTTGTGTTCCTTGAACCTGTGAAGGAGCCGAAGCCAGGACAGAATGGGAAAGTAAGGATGTTTCCCAGTGAGAATGTCATTGCTGAAGGCATCTTAAAAACTCCTCGAACAAAATCAGATTCAGATTCCATGAATTCTGTGTTCTCAGATACACCGTTCATGCCATTGTCTTAGTTTTCTTCTTGGCTTCTTGTTGTATAGTTCACTTTCTTAGCAGCTGTCCTGCCTTTAGCCAAAAAGAGTGGGAGGGAAAAGGGAAAACTTGGTGTCAGAATTGAATGCAATGATGTTCACACACGATCTCTTAAAGTGGGTGGAACATGTTATTAGTGCAGTGAATGCTGTGGAGATGCACTTTGCTACATAACCTTTGTAACATTCTGTTGCAGAGAGGTCCCATTGTGGTATATGCTGCTTTCATGCTCATCTTTGTGCTTAAAAGGGTTTGGGTGTGGTCCGACGGCTAACATTTGTCTGATGCTGCAATTCCCTGCAGTGGGTTGTGGACAGAATAAATTCCCATCACATTAAGCTAGGGATAGGCAACTTGTGGCCTTCCAGCTCCAGCCAGCTCTTACCACTGGTCATGCTGGCTTGGGCAAATGGAACTTGTTAAACAAAGCACCTGGAGTGCTACAAGTTGCCCACCTCTGGATTAGGTCCTTACCTGCTTAGCTATATACAACCCATATGCTTATAATATCAGGGGCTAGAAACTTAATCAGTATGCCTCCCAGAGATTAGAGAGAAAGAAAGAGCCATTTCTTCAGCACCTGGGTTCTGGCTTGAGGTGCTGAGTGCATAAAGAAACAGATGAAGTTCTACAAAATATTACAGAATGAGTTTTTACATAAATTATGAAGCAGAGTTTATTGTTTTCCTTTTGTATACTGAAGTTATAATAGCCAGAAACAGAATGTATAATTCTTTGGTATAAACATACATTTTTTTATTAAATGAAAACTGTGGCAGAAAACACTCTGCCCAAATTTATATTCTATAGAGAATTTAGGCCTCGAAGGCTGTGTTCCAGAAGCAACAGCACTTTCATCCTATTAAGACATCTGAAGCAGAACAATGTTCAACTGGTATGGTTTTACCTGCTAGTGCAGAGCAATGAGAGATGCTGCATCATTGAATGTTTGTCTTCTCAGCTCTTAAAAGGTCAAAAGCCATGTTGCGCTTATGGAATGTGGTCACTTTAGCCTACTAATTTATACTTGCATAAATTTAAATGTATGGCTTGAGTGGAAAATAAGAAGAATGCAGAATTTAGTTTTGTAAGTCAGCCAGCGTATGTGAAATTGGATGTTTTGTATAATTGCTACTGCACTTTGAACACTTTTTTCTGACCTAATGAAAGACATGGTGGAAACAGTCGGTCCAAAATGAATATTGTCTGTGTAGCCAGACTTTCTCATTACCAGCAATGAAACAGCTTGTGTGTTTGGGTTTTGCTGGGTGAGATGGCATGCAGTTTGCTGAACCGTAGCCTTATTTAGAAGATTTGGAGTAATGCAGCTGTTTTCCCTACATTGTTTAATGCTTTAAAAAGATGGTGTTTTAATGAAACATGTTTTGTCATTTGATATAAGAAGTATGCATTTCCAGTTCCAAGTGTGATCACTTCCAAAAATGCTCAGTTCCTATAAAAATGCTTAAACTTTGTAGGATTAGGCTTTTGTAGTGAACTGCATTTCCAGAAATGTATAGGTTGCAGGTGGCTGTTACAAAAAAAGGAAAAAATGCTATTCAACCCTTTAAATAGGGATGGGCATCTTGCATCCGTCAAGAAGCTCTAGCCTACAGCTCCCAAACCTTCTCACCGGTATCTATGCTGGCAAGGGAGGAGTGATATGAGTTGTGGTTCTCCAGGTGTGTTGCCTAGCATAATGGTTGTGGCTGATGCATTTTTGCAACCCTTCAACTGATGCATGGACTTGGCCATCGGAACAGATCTGGTCCTGGTACCATACTTCATTGAGAGCAACCGTTCTTCGGTTTGAGCCGTGCAACGCTTTTATGTAGCTGTTCCTAAGATCCAAGCTACACACAAAGTCTAGAGGACCATTATGTTTACAATGCCATTTCCCTGAGGTCAAGTACTTAAATGAGTCTCCATTTCTTAGTTTCAGTTCTTCCTCTCCTGCAAATGAGAGTGGTTTACCTCACAGAGCTCTTACAGTGGTGAAAGAGGGTAAGAACGGCAAGTGCAATAGGGCCACTTACAGCTCCTAGTAAAGCCCTAGATTTCTAAGCATCTCTGTTCCTCGACATTCCATGTGACAATCATATAATTCTTGAATAAATAAAGTACCTTGAAATAACCTTTTGGCTCACTGCCGTCCTCTGATTTTGTGACTGCTTAATAGATTATATGGAGACTGAAAGAAGCCAAACGGGCCCTTCATAATTAAGCCCTTGTGTATTGTCTCTGTTCTCATTATCAGTGAATCTTACTTGTCTTGTCCAGGGAGACTGAAATGGAGTTGTACATTATAGCCAAAGCTGAAGCCAGATTCCATCAAGGCCAAAGATGAAGTAGTCAAGTTTCAGCACCACGTGTCCATCTTGCTTTCCCATGCCAATTGTAAATGCAGGATAATAACACAATAAAGTCCATCACTAATAACATAATAAAAGAAGCAAAGGCAGTAGGTCTTGAGAGCTAGGTTGCTCCCTGCTCCTACATTCAAGCCGACATACTGTTCCTTTGCAAACGCTTTTTATTCACCAAAGCATATCCAGTCAGCATAATCACCAAAGAATAACTCTCTGAGAATGCACAGAGCAGTTTGTTAATTTAAGTCTAACAACTTCTGAGAGACTCCTTTTGAGTACCCTTGGACCACCTCTCTCTGGAAGGGCCCCTTTCGAAGTGAGCAAGCCTCTTTTCTGTATGCCATCCCTCTAGTTGGCCAGCCCTTTTCTCCCAACACCATGGGATCAACTGTCCTGCCAGCTTTGGCTGGCTTCTGTAACTAATGCCGCTGCCAGAATTTGGTGGCCAAAATGGTTTTTCCTATCGCCCCTGGCAAGTGCAGTGTGTTACATTGCGCACAAGTGTTGGCATATGTACTAGTGCTCCATCAGCACAAGTGCAGGGGCACATTTAAATCATGTTCCCTGATTCTATATGCAGGTTTCCATCCATGTTCATACTAAGCAGTGTGGTCAAGAATGGAGCAAAGTCCAGGTGTCTGATGGGGAACCATGAAGCCAGCGCTGACCGTCTGAGCAACTAATGACCAGGGCTAAAGGCCTTCTTTCTGTGGAAACTGGTGTTCAACCTTATCGGAACTCAATTGCCCATTTGCTAAGGACAGGAAAAGCGAGGACAACATACAACAGCCAAGCTACACCCATTGTTCTGCACACTCAGAGACTCTGGTTATGAGGAACAGGGCAGTATATGTCTATTACTTTCAATGTAACTCTTGCACATTAAATACACTGAAATCATAAATTCTTTGAGACAAAGCTGGTATAAGCATATACCTTTGACCTGATCAAAAAAAAAAATAATGCAAGACCAATTTGTTGTTCATTTTAAGGGCAATATCCAATACTGGTTATGAACCAGTGGGACCCACCGCTGGTGCAAAGGGAGCCAGTACTTCCTAAAGCAATCAGAAAAAAACCCCCAAATGCTCCTTTCCTGACTCAAACAGGTCAACAATGCTCATAGAAGGGAATTTCACTGACATGTCCGGTTCCAGAAATAAGCAACTTGGCTCATTTCCAGGGTTGAATGAGAAAGTGTTAGCCTCTTGTCCCAGTGGTGAGTCACTATAAGCGCATGGGCAGTGTGGGACACTGCCCTACATGTGGAACTGAGTGGCTGTTTCATTATCCCTATAATACTATAATGTAATTTTGAATGCCTCTAACTTTCATTTTGCTACAGGGTACTGCTTAGGAAGAGGAAGCAACATAATATATTTTAATTATTCAGTTGGTCACACTGTTGCTTTTTTTCTGTAACAGTAGGCTAGAGGAATATCCATAGCATTCAGTCTGCACAATCAGATCAGCAGTTCTTTCTCCCGGTTCTTTCCTTGTTCAAAGTGACCACTAGAAAGAGGGCTTTTCTGGGTGTGACACCATCTCTTTGGAATGCTCTCCCTTTCTATTTTCCCAGTCCTTTAAATATTAGGCATTTTAAAAGCTCGACAGTTCCTGTTTCATCCTGCTGGTTTGTCTGTTCTGACATGAGGTTTAATGGTTTTTGATAGTTCAGTTCCAGAAACCACCCTGCAACCAGTTCCAATCAAGGACAATATACCAATATTTTAAATATAACTGCAGGGTGTTTTAAAAAGAAGGATTTTGTTTTTGACTTGAGACATCAAAGAAACTGTTCAGGCTACAATGCTACTTAAGAAGAAGCTGCTTAACTTCAGCAAAGCATGACCCTGGGCATTTAAGAAATGTTGCTTAAGGAGGTTTGTGTTTGTTTATTTTTTATTAAAGAGAAGGATAAAAAGATATGCCAGATTTACTACAGTGAACCATCTGTGCATGTACATATTAGACGGTACAAGGAGGAAATGAGTTATTGTAAAGAAGGAACATTTCGTGACAAAGCATGGAAAACTGATGGTAATGACAGTATTGGAATTCTAACCATTTGGCCTCTGCCTGATTAGCATGGATTCTTTTAGAGAGAAAAGCCATCCGTTCACAGAGTTGGACGCAATGCACTCAGCAAACCCCCTTAGGATTCCCCTTCACTTCAGCACGATTTGTGCAGGATGAGATTATGTTTTAAAATCCTGCCCAACAACTACGGCAGGAGGTGGTATTGTGGTATTTTAAAAATAAAGTGTTTATCCCAAAACCCAAACTGTATGAAGAATCACAAGTAGAAATGGATCTCAAAAGGAACCCCGTGCCATAAATACATTAAACAATCTATTTAATTTCTGATTTATAGGGCTATGGTTCTGGTCATCATATATGCAAAAGATGAACTGTCACTTGAATAGCATAACCATGGTTACCACAGAACCCATCTGAACCCAGTTCTCATATTTCACCATGTGTCATAAGCCAGACCTTGTCCTCTTTGCTCACAAAGTACAAGACAATGCAGACCTTTATTGATGTTTCACCACTAAGAAGACAATGTAATAGCCTTCTATTAAGGCGAAAAGATCAGCCTCTGCTTATGT